GCTTGGTTTCAAGGTTATGACCTGTGAGTAGAGATTGGACAAACATGGTTCGTTTTCACTTGAATATCAAAAGATGAGGGGCGACCTGATAGAAGTTTATAAAATTATTAGAATCATGGATAGAACAGATGGTTGAAGTGTTTTTCCCAGGGTGGAAATGTGAATTACTAGACTGAAGGGCCTGTTCCTGTGCTGTATTGTTCTTTGCTCTCGCACCTGTCCTGAATGGCCTCGCCCTAATTTCTGGACTGCGCACCTTCATTCTCCAACTGGTGAAAATAAGTTGTCTTTATCTACCCTGTGTTTTCCTGTTATTATCTTGAAGACTTCAACAGATGATCCCTTAACCTTCTAAATTCTAGAAAAAACTGGCATAATTTTCATAATCTCCTCAAAACTTAACCCTGACGTCTGGGTATCATTCTTGTAGATGTGATATCCTTAATGACCCAGTCTCTGCAACCTTCTGCAGTAAAGAATACCACAGATTTACTGGTCTTTGATAGAAATTCCTGTTCATCTTTGTTGTTGAAGGGGTGACCCATTCTACTGCCTTCAATGCCAGTATGTTTTTCCTTAGATCAGAGGATCAAGGGGAAAAACCTCCAGCTGGCAGGGAAGTTGTTCGTTTTATTTCAATTGATTCTATGTTAAATAATTGCTTGGTAGTACAGAACTTGAGTATTATTGGCACGTTTTGTCAGAGGTTTTTATTTTAAACTCATTAGGACAATTTGCATGAAGACCAACCACGACAGTAACAACTTTTTATACTGCATGAGAGGAGTGTGCAGACTGAAAGCTCACTGCCAGACTCTGTTTAGATTTCAAACCAGGCATATTGACACTGAATGGTCTGAGGAATGAACCAATTGGCACTGTCTTCTCCTTCAGTATAAAGGTTTTTCTCACCTTTTCTTGGTATTCTTGCAGAATGTCTTGATTCTGTATTGTAAATAGATTAGCTTTTGAATTAACATTGTTTTCATTGCAATTAAATTTCTTTTAGTATTTGATAAACGACCGAAGCAGTTTTTGTAGCTTTTAAATGAAAGAGTTTTCATGTGGATGGCAATTTAATAATTTAATAGTCAGTTTCTACTTTACTGAATGTCCAAGGATAGTAAAAGGAACAGTATATTTGTAAAGATAGAAATAATGTTGCAATAAAATAGAATAGAAAATACAGAAGTAATGATGGCTTTCTGCTCAATTGGGATCAGTCCCGAATAGTCAGAAACTAGCTTGGGTCTTTCAATTTCAAGTCAAGTAAATACTCTGAGATTTAGTTTTGGAACATGTAGAATGCATATTTTGTACACATACAATGTCAAGACTCACAGGGTAGTGCATTGGAAATCAAGTTCTGCTATTCCTGGAGTTGTCACAAAAATTACAGCTTTTAAAGTAAGAACACAAAGTTTCCCAAATTACCTTATTTTTCAGTCCCAGGTTGATAGCACAAACCATGTACTTAACAAGAATTGCTATTTATTTCATGTCATTAGACTGTAGCTGAGGTAAAAACGGAAAGAACTGTGGATGCTGAAAATTGGGAACAAAAACAGAAGTTGCTGGAAAAGCTCAGCAGGTCTGGCAGCATCTGTGAAGAAAATATCAGAGTTAATGTTTTGGGGCCGGTGACCCTTCCTCAGAACTGTTGAGCTTTTCCAGCAACTTTTGTTTTTGCAGCTACAGGTAAACTGTTTTAAGCCGTTGGTCTATAATACTATAAATTCATTCCCTTTTAAACTCGGTGTTTCCCACACACAAACACCGACTGGGAATGATATGTTCTGGATGGAGGCTGTTCAGAAGTTCCTATTCGCGAGCAGTTGAGATGATCCTGTTGTCTTCATTTTTAAACAATCAACTGCTGGAGACAATATATGTTTTATGATCATTTTATTGGATCATTGCAAGGAGAAATCTGACCTCACCGAAGCACAACTCTCTGAAGCATTCAGAAAAGTTGATTATCTTTATACTGTTAACATATCATTATCCACATTCCAATCCTCCTTCAAAGACAACACAAAACAGATGTCCCTTTTATGTTATAGCTTCATGTGTTTAGGCCTTTTTCACCCAAACAGGGAGTGAACAGTAAATCATCTTCATAGAGCATGGAAGAGACCCTTCCATCCGTTGAGTCTGTGCCAACCTATTTGTACTAATTCCACTTGCCATCACTTGGCCCATAGCTTTGACTGTTGTGACATTTCAAGTGCTGATCCACATTACCTTTTAAAGGTGGTGAGGTTTCCCATTTCTACCAGCCTCCCTGTGTTTCTAGATACTCACTACCCTGTGGGTGAAAATGTCTTTTTTTTTTCCCTCAAATTCTTCCTCAACTTTCTGCCTTTCACATTAAACTTATGCCCCTTTGTTATTAACTTTTCAACTCGGAGGAAGAGCTGCTTCCTATCCACTGTGAACCTGTCATAATCTTAGGTACCTCAAATAGGTTGTCTCTCAGCCTCTCCAAAGCCTATTCAGCCTCTCTTCACATTTGAAATGCTCCATCCCAGGCAATAGCCTGGTGAATCTCTTCTGCATCCCCTCCACTGCAGTTGCATCCTGCCCTAGATGTTGCTGTCTTCTTTCATTCTCAATGTCCGTCCTACTCTGTTGCTTGTCCAGGGCCTTAGAACGTTTTCATTAACATGGTCTTCTGATTACACAGATGTTTATAGAAATCCTGTTGATGTTAGCCTCTAAGTTGCTTTTAATATGGAGGTATCGTTCATCCCTTTATTGTCTAAAATCTAAATTTCCCCAAACAATCCTTACAATTCTTGTACTTGCCAGAAAGTGCTCTGAGTCGCTTTTCTCGAGATGCTTTCACTTGTTTACAATGAACACAAGGTGACTGGTTGCTTATAAAAGATCTCAATTTTATCAGGTAAAAGTTACAGCTTATAACAAGTGCAGAAGGAAATGTGAACTGGTTTTCTTCTGGTTTAAAACTGATTTTGATTGCAGAGAGCTGAGAGAGAGCTTTTGATCTGGTAGAGATCAAAACCCTTCTCCATCAGGCCCAAGTAGTTCAGTCAAGCAAAAAGCTTTCATCATTGATGAACTGGTTACTAGTCCCTCAGATTAATCAAATTCCTGCTACCCAGCTACATTTATCACAGAGCCCCTTGTCTGTAAACATTTCCTATACAGCTTGTTCAAATGGCAGTTTACATTATGCTTGCCCCAAGTGACAGGTTACTTGCTTTTCAAAACATGCAGCAATCTTTTACAATACTGGTATTTCCCCATTTCTTCCACAATCTTCAAAAATAAAATAACAGTTTTTACAATGGCTTGGGGGGCTTATCTGTTGTGGACTACATTACAAAATACAGGGAGGTTTTCTAAATAATCTTTGCAAAGATTTTGATAGTTTTAAGTAGCTATATCAATGAATAAATATTTGTAAGTGATTACTGTAGGATTGAAAATTAGGACAATATTTTTATTTTCCCTGAAATTTTTTCCATTTTAACTATCTGCATGTACAGAAATGCATTTCAATTTAATGTGAATATGAAAACTGATTTCTGAATTGAGGAATTTAGGGCCAGGTTTTGCTTACATGTTCACAATATTTGGAAATAGATTTATTTTAAGGGGAATTAGAAATGTTGACTGACCTAAATGTTGGCTAAATATAAATGTAAATTATTCCTAAATTCACAATTTCAACTAAATGTCCCAGGTATTCAGACCAGGATATCCTTTATTATTTATTAAATACTTATTTGATTTGCAGGGAGGAATTTAGTTTGTGCAGCAGAAGTGCCTCCCACTGGTTGGAGAATCAGTAGACCCAGTGTTGTATTCCCACTGGACAGAAAGGCACTTTTAAAAAGCACTATCTGGACAGTGTTGGCCCCCCACCTGATCAAGTCCTCAACATATACACATATATACAAGTAAAAGGAGTAGGCCACTTGGCCTGTTTGAACCTGCTCTGCCATTTAAATAGATCATGGCTGATTTAATTGTAACCTCCTACTCCACATTCTCACTGACCCCGATAACATTTCAGAGTCAACCACGTTGCTGTGGGTCTGGAGTCTCATGTAGGCCAGACCAGGCAAGGATGACAATTTCCTTCCCTAAAGGGCATTTGTGAGCCAGATGGGTTTTTCCGACAATCAGCTGTGGATTCATGATCATCATTAGACTCTTAATTCCAGATATTTTATTGAATTCACATTCCACTATCTGCTTTTGCAGGATTCGAACCCAGGTCCCCAGAATGTTATCTGGGTCTCTAGATTAACAGTCCGGCAATAATACCACTAGGCCATCACCACCCCTCGTTTCCTCAAAAGGCATTGGAAGCAGACTTCCCAAGACTCGGGGCACTTTGTGCAGACAAAATTCTCATCAGCCCCTTATTTAAAACAATGACCCCTTGTATGTCCTCTCAAAAGAGGAGACATAGTTTCCACATCTATCCTGTCATGCCCATTTAGGATCTTGTACATTTCCGTCAAGTGACCTCTTACTGTCCTAAAATCCAGCAGATACAAACCTAGCTTTGTCCAACCTTTCCTTATGTGAGAAGTCACATGTTAGTCTAGTAAACACTCTCTGAACTGCTTCCAATATGTTTACATCTTTCCTTTCATAAGGAGACGAATGCTGTATACACTACTCCATCAGCCTGTTGGTTAGATAAAAAAGATCTCATGCTAGTTTTTCAAAGAAGAGCAGCAGATTGATCCCTGCTGTCCTGGCCTGATTTTATCCCTCAATCAACATCACAAATAAAAGTTTATCTGGTCATTGTCCCATTGCTGTTTGTGGCAGCTTGCTGTGCATATACTGGCTTCCCTGTTTTGTACCTTGGAATAGTGACTACATTTTGGAAAGCTACTTTAATTTGGAAATTGCTTTGAGATGTCTGCAATAATATACAAGTCTTTTGCTTTTTTGGAAATATTTGCCTAATTTCATCAAAGTGACTTTGTTTTTGATTTTTCTTGCTCCTTATTCAGCACTGATAGGCAACCTTTTGTTCTTTTTGGTTGTCACTCAACAAAAGAAAACTTAAACTCGTACAGCTTTACTTTTCCGTCTGAGGGTCACCTTGTTCGAAACACAAACAACAGAGGAGGCACTGCCAGGCATATGGTAATTCGTTTTTCCCATTTCATATTTTTATACATTTGGTTATGCTTGCTGGTTTCTTTTTCGAAGTTGTTGTTAATTTCCTACTTAAATGCTTTGTATCTCTGTCATCGGATACAAACAGAATTTATTCCTCAAGTCTGTTAGTTTGGACTGTTCGTTCTACTTGTTATTGAAAGCTGAAGTTTCAGATGACAAAATACATTTATTGTTTAACACTGTTTAGAAATTCATGAATTTATTGGTAGAGTACAGCTGCTAATTGGTTTACATTCAAGTTGCTTTGCATAATACATCTCATAATACATCTCATACCCATTTCTGATGAAGGGTCTAGGCCCGAAACGTCAGCCTTTCTGCTCCTATGATGCTGCTTGGCCTGCTGTGTTCATCCAGCTCTGCACCTTGTTATCTCATAAAATTTGTTTTGTATCCAAGACTGACAGGCGAAGTGTTGTTTTAAATTAACCAACAAGACTGGCGGCAAGGTTTTTCAAGCTTTTACAGGCTCATCGAAGATCTCTTCCGTAGGTCCAGACCTAACTTAAACTCGGTGTTTTATTAGATGGTTTGTTTTTCGTTTTATGGGATACCATTTTGCATCTCTGCCTTAATATTGATCACCTGGATTAAAAAGTAGCTTACATCAGTGTTTTGGATAGCGTAGATACAATAAATAGGCTTGTCAAATTGTTAGGAAAATCCATTTTTGCAATATGAAAGTATAAAAAGCTGGTCGCTGGCTTTGGACACGTTCCAATTAATGGAGTTGTTCAATATTGGGCTATTGAAGATACAGGTAATATCACGTTGTTTTCTAGTCATCTTGGAAACCAACAGATATTTTTCCTGTTTTAAAGGAAAGGACGAAGGGCCCGCCGTAAGAACTGCAGGCAAAATATCCGACTTTAGATTCTGTCAGTACTCATTGCAGCCATCGGTTCTCAGGACTGGTACATTTTTGTCAGTTATACTGAACTGGTATCCAATTTTAGCTTAGCAGCAAATTAATGGTTTCATCGAATCCCTACAGTACAGATTTAGGCCATTTTGCCCATCCAACCCTCCAAAGGGCTTCTCACCCTATCCCTGTGACCCCATGTTTACCATAGTTAATCCATATAGCCTGCACACCCCTTAACACTATGGGGCAATTGCGCATGGCCAATCCACCTAATGTGCAGTTCAATTCTCGTAGTCCGGACGTTACGTATTTTTCTCCATGTTCTGTTTCTAGAATATACAGTGGCCATTGATTTGATGCTTACACTCCACAACAGTCTCTTGTTGAATGCATGGAAATTTTATAGTATTTTAATTTAAAATCTAAAGCATAATAAATGAGAATTGTTGTATTTTAACATTGAGAAAATTTGCTTTACCCGCACTCCTAGTGGAGTTCGCCCAAAATTACAGATTGACTTTTACTGCTATTACTCGGTATACAGCAGTTAACTGCATGCTTATTTCTCAATAAAATGCTAAATAAATTACGTGGCAAAGAGGTCAGTTGCTTTACAGATGCTGCCAGACCTGCCGAGCTTTTCCAGCAACTTTGTTTTTGTTCCTTATTTACAGCATCCGCAGTTCTTTGGGTTTTTAATTTAGCATTTAACTCACTGCCACATCTCTTCTGGCATGCCCACCTTGAAGTTCTCCCAGGGGATTTCCATTCCAATATCAACTCTTTGTCTGTCCAACTGCTCTTCTCTCTCTTTCGGCTCTATCCTATCGTTTACTCCCTACCCCATCCCCTTCCCTATTTTCTGCATATAAACTGATGGTTTCCCAGCCACCATTAGTTCTGAGGAAGGGTCACCAGACCCGAAACATTAACTCTGGTTTTTCCTTCACAGATCCTGCCAGATCTGAGCTTTATCAGCAGCTTTGTTTTTGTTCCTGATTTGCAGCATCTGCAGTTCTTTCAGTTTTTATTCAGTTGATATTTTATCTTCAACATTGAAAACATTGTCAATGATTCTTTGAAAAGTTTCGATATATGAAGTTGTTTTTGTCACGTTGATTTGGGTTCTTAATGTAGTTGTCCACACAAGATACATTAGGAATTGTGACAAAAATGCATGATATGGAAAATACTACGAAGCTGCAACCTCATCCTTATGGTGTTTTTTTTTTTTTAGATGGTTGTGCTCCGTTTGTTGTTAATTCTGAATCTTGCGTTATATTTTGATTTTGACTGAAAATGTGGAGAATTACTGTTTGCCTGTTTGATTTCAAGATTGCCAGGTTTAAGTGGAATAATAAAATACAATAACTTCTAGGTTGTGCAGTGCACATCTCCGAGAGGGCCTTTAGGATGCTCAAGGACGTACTTCTTTGGAAATTCACATGTACCCTATATGGGTAAGCTTAAATATTTTTTATTTTATTTTATTAATTATTTAATATGTTTCTATATTTCTAATGATTTTCAGAAGTTAAATGAATGCCTATTTTAATTCTATTCTTGCAGGCAAAGACAACAATCAACAGAAAAATAATGAACTCTTGTAAGTTTTACCGAGTTTCAATGTGATCTTTTAGAATAAAGACATGAATAATAGGCCAGGAACAATGTTAGATGTGATGGCTATTAAAATTTCTTTTTTGCATTGCAAGGAGATAGTAAGAAGTGCCGATGCTGGAGTCAGAGATAACAGTGTGGAGCTTTCCTTTCCTGCTCCTCTGATGCTGCCTGGCATGCTGTGTTCCTCCAGCTCCACACTGTTAAAACCAGCATTGCAAGTTATTTTTATACTTTTCAACAGAGTGCATTGGTCACTGCCCATGTACAATTCGATTTTGCACTAGTGGTATTGCATATTAATGGAAAATTTATACATTTATTGGAGAAAATATACCTTAGTTGTTCTTTAACACCAATTATTTATCAAATGGCTTTTTACATGGGACGGCCATAGACCTGGAGCTGAACTCGACAGCCATATACACTCAGCCCTTATTATCTGCGAGGGATGGGGCACAGGAAAAAAACATGGATATTACTGTTGTGTACTGTGAAGGACTGTACAATGTTTACTGAAGCAGACCAGATGGGACCTAGGGCTGACGTTGTGAGAGTGCTGATCTATGGGTAGCGAATCAATGGATAATGAAGACTCAGTGTAATAACTGTCACGGCAAGAGCACGTTAGAGGCTGTGAGTTTTGTGGTGAGTAACTCGCTTCTTGATGCCCCAAAACCTGTCTACCATTTCCAAGGCACAAGTCAGGGTGATGACCAATATTCTCCACTTGCCTGGATTAGTGCAGCACCAAAAGCATAGAGTAGAGAACAGGAACAGGCTCTTCGACCAACAATGTCTGTGCTGACCATGGTGCTGTTCTAATCTGCTTGCACGTGGTTCGTATCCCTCTGTTCTTACCTGTTCATGTGTCTGTCTGACTGCTTCTTAAACTTTGCTGTCAGATCTGCTTCTACCACCTTGCCTGGCAGTGTATTTCGGGTACCTACCGTCCTCTGTTTAAAACAAACTTGCCTCGCACATCTCCTTTTTAAACTTTTCCCATCTCGGCTTAAACCTGTGTGCCCTAGTATTTGACATTTTCCACTATGGGAAAGAGACTATACACCCTATCCATGGCTCTCATATTTTTACGTACTTCTGTCAGGCTAACCTCAGCCTCCGACACTCTAGCGAAAACAATCCAAGTTTGTCCAACCTCTCCTTACAGCTAATACACACCAATCCAGGCAACGTCCTGGTAAACCTCGTCTGCATCCTCTCCAAAGCCTCCACATCCCTTCATATCGTGTGGTGACCAGAACTGTGCACAGTACTCCAAATGTGGCCTTACCCAAGTCTCTTAAGTTGCAAAATGGCTTGCCAATTTTTATACTCTGTGCACTGACTGATGAAGGCAAGCATGCTGTATCCCTTCTTTGAGATAGTAGGAACTGCAGATGCTGGAGAATCTGAGATAACAAGGTGTAGAGCTGGATGAACACAGCAGGCCAAGCAGCATCAGAGGAGCGGGAAAGCTGACGTTTCGGGCCGAGACCCTTCTTCAGAAATGGGGAAG